TTCAGTAACTGTATAAAAATGATGTTTATGTCTGATAAAATATTTTCTCTTCATTCAGTAACTGTATAAAAATGATGTTTATGTCCAATAAAATATTTTCTCTTCACTCAGTAAGTGTATAAAAATGATGTACAAGTCCAACAAGCTATTTTATATTAACGTTTTCTAAAGAAAGAACAATGAAAAGTTTCATTTCTATCTATCTATCTATCTCGTTATTTTCTGTCTTTTCTAGATTACACTTTTTTTGCATCAAAAAGCAACATTAAATGATGTGATAACAAACTCCTTAGACTCCATCAAAGGATGTGGTGATAAATATTGATAGAAACATTACCTTATATTACGATGAAGAAAATGTTTGTTGCTGTATTCCTGCCGTAGAGTCTAATGATTCTGTAATATCAGTGGTAATATGAGTTATATGTAACACGTCCACAGGGAACTATCTAAACATTGAATGAAGAATTGAAGCAATATTTGAGACCTTTGTTTGTAAGCTTTCTTGATTATATCAGCATTCAAAGATTATTGTTATTGATAGATATATATTCATTTCTGTAACTGTTTAACAATTGGACAATGTTATTACCCATAACTACATACCTTCAATAACGTTTTGTCATATGTTTATGATACATATTGAAATAAGTGTTTATGAACACTTCTTGTTTCTGTTTTAGTAGTTGTAAATATGACAGCAGTTGAAGACCGATCAATTTCTTTACCCTGTAATGTATCTTTCCCGGCTGGAGACTATGCGATTTCCTTAGTGCTGTGGTTCCGGGGGGACTCTGGAGTCCCGATTTACAGTCTAGACGCCCGAAATGGTTCGATCTACAAAGCCTTTCATTTCACGGACGACATTCTAGGAACACGTGCTTACTTCGATCTGACCTCAAGGCCACCGCTACTAAAGATCGCACCGGTCAAGAAAAAGGACGAAGGAGAGTATGAATGTCGAGTGGATTATCGACGCGCACGAACGGAAAAATGGAGAGCTCACGTGAGAGTGATTGGTAATATATATATTTTTTTTCCATATCTTTAAAACTATTAACAGCATTTTTTTTTGTTATTTCAGACTGGTTAAAGAAGAAGTCGTAGTTAATTACTGCCATTTTTATGACTTTGATGACAAAATAACAAACAAAAGTGATACTGCTTGTAAAACAGTATGGTGAAAATTGGAAAATATATTGTATTGCATAAGATTATTCGTTTTTCTCTTGACTATCACTTTTGTTATAAATATCTTTATTTTTCGAATTGAAACATAGAAATGTAAAAAATAAGACTTATATTGATACTATATACAAATATTACACTGCTTTGTGAAATCTGTAAGCGAATTCCTTATACATATAGGAAGTTAATATTAATAGTATAGTATCAATCTTACATTAATATCATTTTTATTTTAGCGCTTTACCCGAAATCTAACTAAAAACTTTGATAAAGCACATTAGATCATTCCTTTTTGGTTAAGTATATCTAACATTGCAGGGAGATTTTTCACAACATTGTATAAGAAATAACACACGAAAATCTATAAAATATATGTAACACTTGAGGAGCAAATGCATCCCAGCCTCAAAATATTGTGTTGAATGGCAATAAAGACCCCGCCAGTACTCGATGAAATAATTTTCTTAGCTACACATCATTACAAAAGCTGTGGAATCAAAGCTGTATCACCGGCAGCTTGACTATCCGGTCGCTGCTATCTCCGCGGTGTTGCTTCATCTTCAGATTGAAGCGTCACTTTCCTCCTCTGACTATTCTTGAATTTGATAAACATCATTTTCGCTTTTAGATCCACTGCTTTCTTCCAAGTTAGCTATAGTTTTTTCTCCCAACCCTTTGACAATGGCTTGACGCGACACACTTGTATCCTGACTTTCAACTTTGGAGCGACACGTGTAAAAGAATCAGCGTTAATAAAATCTCTACTTAGCTACAAAGTAAACTATGAAACTAAGATTGCCATTATAGTCTCTCAAGCTGTTTCTGGAATGTTCTGGAAATTGATCTCTACAATTTTCTTGCACGTTTCATGGAAAAGATTACGTGGTATATTAAAAAAACAAAACAGGGACAACGTAAAAAATATTATCTTAAATATCATCTTTCTGAAGTACAATATAACTTACTAAAATATGGTTCAATGTGATAATTGTGTCGTTAAAAATTAATTTCAGTTCTAATCGTATTAAATATATTCATTCTTGGTTGTTGGTTGTTGTTAAGCACAAAGCTACACAATGGGTTATCTGTGCTCTGCCACCACGAGTATCGAAACTCAATTTTTAGCGTCGTAAGTCTGCAGACTTACCGCTGAGCTGCTGGGGGACAAATTTTGATTAACGTAATAAGTGGAGAATTAAAATTCATTGGTTGCTAGTTGCAAGTTTAATTTGAATGTATAATTTAAAGATACACACTTATACCTTTAAATCATGTTTATTGATTACATAAGCATAACATTACAGTGTTCAGTTTAATATCGCGATTTTAGAAATACAGGTTTTATTATTTCACGTTTGACCTTTACCGAAACGAATTGCAGTGAAAAAGTCGATAAGTATTCAGAATAAGCCATAGTTAAAAATTTATTCTAAAACCTTAAAATTTTATTATTTGTACGCCTGGCATAGCCTAGTGGTTAGAGAGCTCGACTCCCAATTTGCGGGACGCGGGTTCGAATCCCCTTCACTGAACAGATTTCTCTTTCGGCTGTGGGGGGTTATAACATAACAGTCAACCCTCCTGTATAGTGGTCAAAGAGTGGGCGGAGAGTTGTGTAATTTAGTTGTCTTCCTTCTAGTCTATCACTGCTAATTAGTGACGGCTAGCGCAGAGTAGCTTTGCGCGACAGTAAAAAAAGAAACTGTTATATGTATGCTCAAAGTGTAATTTTTATTAAAAATGCTAGCTTTTACTTTTTTTTACGGTTCATTTATCGCATTGAGGAAATTTATATGGCAGTTAGTTAATAGTCTTGGATCGTCGTTTCTATTTCCTGAAACAAACTTGTATCGTAGTTCGTCGTAAATCATCAAGCGTTGAATGAGTTTGTGTGGTATAATTTCAAAAATCAATTAACATCATTTTCAAATTTTATAGAAAGCTTAACTTTTGTACTACCCAGGGATCAGGTGAAGTTTACATGTGGTACTACACAATAACAACAACAAAAAAAAAGAGAAACAGCAAAAACTAAAACAATCCTACTTAGTGAGAGTTGTTTGTTTGTTTCCAGCTAAGCACAAAGCTACGTAATGGACTGTTCGTGCTCTGCTCACCGCCGATATTTAAACCTGGTTTCTGGCTTTATAAGTCCACATTCGTACCTCTGAGCCACTGGGGGGGGGGCAGTGGTAAGTCTGGGGCTTATAACGATAAAAATCGAGTTTCGATACCAGCGGTTAGCAGACCACAGATAGCTCTTTGCGTAGCTTTATACATAATATAAACAAACAATAACACGGCATTCTGATCTGTACCTGAACCTTCTTTTGAGCAATATAACTTTTATGTGTTCCATATTCGATGTTGATATTTTATACTTCTAAGAGAAAAGTGTTTCTTAATTGGTTCATCAAAATCCTTTGATGTAAGATAAGAAAGCAGCATTGCATCTTTTAATATTCTTTTAACACGACAGGAAATATACTAGTTCAACTACAGTATCAGTAGTTTCTCTTTTTATCAGACGTTTCATAATTAGCAGATACAACACGTCGTTTGGGAATAGACTTGCTTAATTGATCACTAAGTCTTCAACTGGGTCGTTAAAACATACAGCTTCGTGTTAAAACAGCTTTATATGTTTAGATAAGCTCCATAAAATTCAATATAAGTTTGTAAAGTGATACAGTTTGCGAAAGGAAATTATCACTTACATTTAATATATCGTGTAGAATTCGAAACAGAAAGCATCGAACCAGTGAACTTAAGTAGTGGTTAAATAAAAATAATGATGTATTCCCCATAGGAAGAAGACATATTGTATATCCCGTGTTTCTTTCTTCTTCCCAGCAATTAAAAAATGAACTTAAGTAGTGGTTAAATAAAAATAATGATGTATTCCCCATAGGAAGAAGACATATTGTATATCACGTGTTTCTTTCTTCTTCCCAGCAATTAAAAAATGAACTTAAGTAGTGGTTAAATAAAAATAATGATGTATTCCCCATAGGAAGAAGACATATTGTATATCACGTGTTTCTTTCTTCTTCCCAGCAATTAAAAAGTTTTGGTTTGTTTGTTGGAAGTTAAGCACAAAGCTACGCGATGGGCTGGCTACCTGTGCTCTGCTCACCACGGGTATCGAAATCCAGTTTCTAGCGTTGTAAGTCCGCAGACATACCGCTGTGCCACTGGGGAGCAATTAAAAAGCGAACATAAGTGGTGGTTAAATAAAAATGATGATGTATTCCCCATAGGAAGAAGACATAGTGTATAACCCGTGTTTCTTTCTTCTTTCCAACAATTAAAATTGTGCACCATTTTTTTAGTTCTGGGTCGATTGTCTTGAACATTGGAGAGCATTTACCCTGGTTTAATGCACTCAGAACATTCTTACATTATATTTCATTTAGGTTTCCGTTTTGTTTTATGTCAAAAATGACTAAAACACATATTTTATCCTGCAGCTCCTTTATAATTCCTTCAATCCAAATGAAACTTGATACCAAATCATACAGATTTATGATTTGTGTCCTTCTTTTGATTTTACATGTCAAAGGTAAAAAAAAACAAAAAAAAACGTTAAATTAACTATTACTGTATTTTGACCAATCCACGTGGACTTTGTACCATAATACTTTCCGACAAATAAAGCAGAAAGTTTTTGGATTTATGTTTTTTGTTCGATTTTGCTGGGGTAAAAGGTAAAAACGAGTCACAATTTATGTATTATGGAGCTCTGAACCTCGAGACATTGTGTCGAAGAATAGGTCTTGTTTGCCCCAAAATTACCTGTAACATTTTTGGCGTTGTAAGTAAACATATTTATGCAGAAACTGACTGTTCTATGTATTATGAGGTGGAATTTTAGTTTGCTCCAATACATCATTCTTAGAAAGAAATTTCAATTTGATTCTGTGTTAAGTGTTTGTCCCTCTGAAGTATATGTTGTAGTTTATACCCCCTTCCAAATATTCTCAGAACTTTATCCAATGAGACGGGTGTTGTTGTTTTTTTGGGGGGGACGTATTAAATGTTGACTTTTGCAGTTTGAAACGTTTTGTGTGGATCCAGTTTGACTAACTTACAATACACCCTTTTTAAACTCTTCAAGTGAAATATGACAATATGCGTTTTCAAGGAAATAGCTAAACACGTGCTTGTTAATGTATTTACATTTACAGTGGAAACAAAATTTAAAAGGAGGAGTAATTTAAGAAACTGCAATAATCGGTAACTACTTGGGTTGCTTGAATGTGTACCATACGTGTTTTTTTATATTATAACTTAAGATATATATATAGCATAATTTATTTATATTTCGTAGAGGATGTAACACTACATTTTAACATAAACGTGCGTATATTGCTGTTATTTTGCTTTTCAAGGAGGATGAACATACATTTTTCATATCTACAGATCTACGAAGTTGAAATATTATGCACATATTTATAAATTTTAACGAAATAAACTGTACATCATATTTAACAATTGCTCATCCTAAACTAACTTCTATAATTGTATTATCGTTATTTAAAAAAAATATTCTTAAAGCCGAACTTTAACTTATTTGACTGTGGAAATGTCTTTCAGTTCCTCCCAAAAATGCTGTTATTAAAGATGCACAAGGAAAACGAGTTGAAGGAATTATTGGTCCATTCAACGACGGAGATATGTTAGCTTTATCCTGTGAAGCTGAAGGTATGAGTTACATGATAACGGCGATTTATTCCCATGTACCAGGATAGTAAGGTATATCTGTGGCTATAGTAACAGCAGTAATCATTGTATTAAGTATTATTGTCATTGTATGTGTAACGGAAACCGAAAAAACGACAAATAGATTACTTGTAAGAAGATTCCTCATGGAATTCTTTGATACCATAAATTTGCTAAGGCTACTGTAATAAAATATTGAAGCCAGAAATCATACGATACGAATGATATTAGAATCTACGCACACATTATGACAGTTATTGTAATACTTTTCTGTTCTGTGTTCAATGGATGTATGTATATTGCGCACACACACACACATATAAAACAATAGGCCTATTTATTATTATATCCTCTGTTCTGAAATCTTTCTAAACCTAAGTCTTCAGAAATTATACAAGCTTTTCTTTTATTCAAGACAGTTATGTGTGTGTTTGTGTTATTATCGAGAACACAGCAATTCATTTTAAACACCAAAAAGTGTAATGTAAATTTATTTCATTAGAACATATTAAAGGTTAATAACCAATAATCATATAATTATGAACTATTTTTCTTTTATAAATACATTGTTAGAAGATATGCTGATATACGTGGCAATTTGAATTTAAAATATTTGAAATGTTAAAGTCAAACTAAAATCAACAGATTAAAGAACTGCCCACCTTCATAAAACACAACAGTTAGAATCCATTAAAGTTAAAACAAACGTTTCCATATAAATTGTTTTTATGAACGTTTGATTCGATACACTTGTTGATGGTCCAACGATACTTTCATAAACGACAACAACAACAAAAAACATATTTGCGTTAGAGTTTTAATGAAAACCAAAACTGACCTCTTATTATGTGTTTTAAAGGAAATAGCTATACACGTATTTGTTAATGTATCTACACTTACAATGGAAACACAACTTAAAACCAGGAGTAATTTAAGAAACTACAATAATCGATTATTATTATAAGTTATCATTTCCGCACGTAAGCTACAGTTGCATTACGATTACACTTTACAATTCTGTAGTGATTGTTGTGGTAGTGAAACAAGCGGTATATTTAAGTCAATATTATCTACCTCAAACTGAACAGTTTATTGTAATTATATTGTTTAAGTCTTCTTATTTCTGTACGAATTTTTCCGATTGTTTTATTAATATATCAAATTACATATAAGTGTAAGATAACATCATGAATGCGAACTATTTCTTAAACATTTCAACAATTTAGTCTATTAATATACAAAAACACACTAATGTGAAAGACGACACCATGAGCATAAAAACGCGCTATTTGAATCATAACTTTTTATTTTTAAACGTATTTTAATATTTTCGAGTAATAAAAAACACGTGTAAAAAAGAGAACACTATGAATATTCTATGCACACTTTGTACAATAATTATCTGGGATTTCCAGTGTCATCGATTTTTTTAAAATTAACAGAGGAAATATATCTCAAGTACGTAGAGCTAACACTGACAAGTAATGAACTTTCTCTTGTTTCATAAAGGAGATCCCATCCCGAATGTCACGTGGTGGAGGGATTCGACCCTTTTAGACGGTGATTACAGTGTTACTCCAGGAGGAATTGTGCGAAATGAACTGTTAATCAAAAGGCTACACAGGGACCACTTAATGTCAGTGTTGACATGCCAGGCATCTAACACAAACCTTAGTGTACCCGTCTTCAGATCAGTGACATTAGATATAAACTGTGAGTATCGGAGTGAAAAATGACCTAGCGTTTTATATTTATTGAGGGTTTTAAGGGTTTAAGTGTAAAAGTTTCCAATGATCTGTTCATCTCGTATCGCATTCAATTTCTGCTTTTTAAGTGCAGTTTGGAATTAATAATTAAAACTTAGATTTTAGTGCGACATTGATGTGTATCATGATGTAAAGTGATATGCTATATACAACATTGTTCAACTACATGTATTTACGTTACTGTTTAAACGGCGAAACCTGGCGAATCATTAGAAACCAATAGCTTCAAAATTTGTGGTGAAAATCACAATAACACCAGATGTTTTGTTTTCCACCTATTGCTTTCTAATGCTCTGCCCGTCTTCGGTGTTTAAACCGTAACTTTGAAAATATAATACTGCATATATGAATAACGTTTCAAAGAATCTTTTGTCTCTCATCGCACAGCCCAACTGGTATTAACAAAGGGCCTCTTGAGAAGTGACTTAAGGGTGATAAAATATAGATCTGAAAGGCTATTCCCACACGCTTCTGATTTTGATTCTGCAATGGACAAAGTAAGAGGAATGTGAAAAGCAAAACAACTGCAGTTAACGTGATTTTTATCACAGCTTTTAGGCTTATATTGTTAAACCGCATATTAAAAATTTTGTAAAGGATTTTGTAATTGCAATTTGATAACACTGTTGATTAAACCTTTATGTGTTTTGTTGAAAAGAAAGTTAGTTAAAAACATATCTTAGACATACTTAGTTCATGCAAATGTCTACAAATACATTTTCGGATATTGTGTTCCGTACATAAACTAGAACCTAAAGTGTTGCAAAGTTTATGGAAATCAATACGTTACTTTGTTATTTCTTTTACCCTTACTTCTAATTTAGATTGTACATTCGCTGTTGAAATACAGTTCAAAAATTGCAATTAGGGCGTGGGTAAAAGTTTGATGCTGCTGTTATTTGAAGTTAAGCACAAAACTACACAATGGGCTACTTGTGCTCTGCCCACCATGGGTATCGAAACTCCGTTAAATTTAATGCAACTATAATACATATAAAAAAACTCGCCACGAGATACTGTATTAGAAGAAATAGGCCTACTGCTGATTTAAGCTCATTTTCCTTTGAATGTTGTAAGTTGTACAACTGTTATTTTATTATTACATACATATCATTATTTCTGTAAAACGAAATTTAGTTTAAACGTTCGAAAAATCCTCTCTTTACTTCGTTTAATGTTTTTTACTTATTGGGCCCGCACAGATTCGTGTGCTTCATTTCATAATCCTTTACCTAAATCCGAGGAATGTCACAGTTTAATGATATTAAACTGTGACATTCCTCGGACTTAGGTAAAGGATTATACATGTAGCTATCATTAAACTGTGACATTCCTCGGATTTAGGTAAAGGATTATACATGTAGCTGTTAAACTGTGACATTCCTCGGATTTAGGTAAAGGATTATACATGTAGCTATCATTATCAGTATTATTAACTTTCCATTTTAAAATACATAGAAAATTAAAGCTAATCTTAACTTTTTGTTGTGAGTATCCTAAGGAACTTAAAAGGTCTTTAAATACACCTATAAAGCATGTGCTTGTTTTCTCTAGATAAATTTCTTACGTAATTAAAAATAGTTGAGTATCAAAACATCACTATTTTTATTATACATTTAACGTAAGGTTTGGGTTATGGTTGAATTTATTATATTTGTCTCTCAGTAAATTTTAATTATTTGTTTGTTCATTAACTCAGATGTTTGACATATCAACGTAATAGGACTGTAATTACGCCACTGTAATTAAAATTGTTCCAGTATTTGTTGAAGTGGAACTTGAATTGATAGTTCATTAAAATTTATGTGGCCATTATTGAAAATGCCAGAAAACACACTAACCACGACACTATGCCGCATAATCCAGACCCATAGAGCTAATTTTCACTATACATCATTCTTGCGTGGCTGTAAACGTTGATATGAAACAACAACACGAATATCTCCTTCTGAGTCATTAAGTATCAGTTCCGTCAAAACACCATACATGCGATAATAAACCCAGAACCCGCCTTCCAGTTAAATGAAATAAATAACTTGTGACAAAATTCTCGTACTTATAATGGATAGTAACATGCGGAAACGAAAGCAACTTTAATCCCCACTTTCTCAAATGGACTTATACTTTTCTTTTAATAAATAGATGACTAGATTCCTATACATAAATAGATACTAATAATAAATGATGCGAAATTTAAGCATATCTATTTTCATGGGTATATATTAAAACAATTTTCTCGAATACGTACCCTAGAAAGATAATGGAGTTTTTAGGAAAACAAAATAATTAAGCTATCACGATATTTTAATTGAGAAACTAGAACCATTTGAGGTATTATTAAATTTTCAATGTTTTGTTTTATCAGCTGGCTTCAACCATAGTTTCTGATAACGCCAAATTTGTTTAAACACGAGATACAGTTTTTTCGATGGTTTGTTGGATTAAATTAGCCAATAATGTGGACACTATAGTACGTTGTGGTTGTTGCATAATGGGTTATAACAAAACAATACATCAAGTTAAGCAGAAAAGCATTATTTTAATTTTTTAATTAGTAAACTTCCAAACTTTGTTCCAACTTAAAGCTATATGCTTCATGTGCGTGGAATTGTTTTTTTGTTTTGTAAAATTGGCGAATAATCAGTAGATATATTGAAAATAAACACAAAACAAAGGATTGCCAATTTTCCTTTTTAAAGACCCTTGAGTGAATGTTTTTTGTAAAGAAATACAAGCCTTAAGCGATGGCAGGCGATGATTAATGACGTTATACATTTTATAAGTAGATTTAAGAAAATTTTTAAATATCCGTTACAAGAAGCTTAATATGTTTTTGCAAGGAACAAGAAAAGTATAAGATATATACATGATTTATAGTGTGAGCATAATTCATGTTTTCTAGGTTGTGAACATATTTTTTTTCTTCTAATTTTACTTTAAAACATAAGCTGATTTAATACAGAATTTAACGTTATTTGAGACCTGACGGCTAATATTTGACATTCTCTCTGTCATCTTTAAACATACGTAATATTTTGTAACTAATATATTAATTAACTCTAGAATTAACAACTGTTCAGCCTTTCAGACACTGTTCTGAGCTGTTCGTGCAACAAATTGCTTGTAGGTTCATGACTTTGTTGTTTACAGGGTCTCTAATATCATGAGTCACATATATAAACGTAAACAAAAATATTTTCAATATTGCAATTACTCCCACTAATTATTGCTGAGGGTCCTCGTGTATTTTACATAGAAAGTTATTGATTTCACTCTATATTTTTGGTCAGTTGTTCAAATGAGTATTGTAACATAGAATTATGATGCAATGTGTGGACCTTAACGATAGTGAACGGTATAACAACAAGTCAGTAATTTGAAAGTCAAGCTGATGAAATAATTCACCAAAATAGCTTTAACGAATATATATATATATATATGAATTGTTGTAAGTATTGTAGTAGTTTTTTAAAAACAAATAATTTTCTTTCCTCTAAACTGTTGCCAGTAAAGCCTCTGGAAGTCCGAATTTCAACTGTAAATCGCCCTTTATTGGCAGGCCAACAAGTAGAACTAGTTTGTCAGTCAAGTGGATCAAGACCACCAGCACGAATTTTGTGGTGGAAAGGAAGTGAAAAAATGTCCAACATTTCATACACAAGAAACGACAATGTGACAATTAGCAAACTTACATTTACACCCACGATTCAAGATCATGAAATATATTTATCATGTAAGGCAGACAATCCCGTGTTTTCAAACAGTGCCTTGGAAGATGGTTGGATAATTACTGTTTATCGTAAGTAAGGCTTTGGGAAATATATATATTAGTGTATATATATATAACAACAACTTATTTCATAACAGCTAGATAAATGATTTAATTCTTTGTTTAATTTAAGAGCTTTCATCCAAGGTGGATTCTTCAGATATTAACAATAGCTTTAATTTCTCATCTACAATTAAATGTCACATACAGTTGGTGCCTGTGATTTTGACCTTTACCAAAGGTCGTCTAGAAGGTTGCATTTAATATGGTTAGAGTCAGGGAGTTATTGCACGAGCTCTTGGCCTGTCAAGTTGATGTCTGCATATCATCATCACGAAGTTTAATGACAACGGTATTACAGCTGCTAAACATCGACCCGGACGGCCGTAAAGCTTTACACGGCGCGACAATAGAGCACTGACAAGGCTAGTTGTAAAAGACCCTCGTCACAGACTATCAGATGTTGCAGAAACAGCAGGCAGGAGCGAAGACACAACTCGTTGGACCCTACACAAGTTTGACTACCAAAGATGCCTTTGCTAGGAGAAAACCTTGGTTGACTACAACACTTGTAAGTTGGTGATTTTAATGGGATATTGAAATATTATTTTATGGAGTTCTGTAGGACAGTAGTATTCGCCGATGAATCCCAGTTTCAACAATTCAGCTCAAGCAGACGTGCGTGGGTATGGAGAAAGGAAGGTGACAAATTCCTACCATAGAGAATCGTCAAACATAATGGGATCAGTGTTATGGTGTTGGAAGCCATCTGGTATGATAATAAAACGAACTTTGTTTTCACTGATGGTTGTTGAAATGCTTCTGGTTACATCAGTGTTATGCAGAACCACACCCTACCATATTTCATCAGCAGATGTTTTACAGTCTCACATACATATATATTTCAGGAAGACAGTGTCACTTGGCACAAAGTCAAAGCGACAAAGAATCATTAAACTTCTGTCTTGGGTTTCATGTATCACCAATATGATCCCCATAGAACACATATTTGAGCAATTAGACAGAGAGCTAAGGGAAACACGTTCTCTGGTCACCAATTTAGAATAGTTAAGGACCACACTCCTCCATATATGGCAGAACCTGGACAAAGGTGTTATTCAGAAACTGATCAATACCATGACAAATACATCAAAGTACTATCCAGTGCACGTGGTAATTTAACTTGTGGAATGCAGCTCTAACATAGATGTACTTTCAATGACAGATAATTGTGCTATCAATAATTCACGTGTACTGTGTATTTACCGTTTGTGTTCTTAAGACAACATGAGAAACAACTTCCAAACAACTTATTTCTCCATCTGGATAGCAGTCCTGAATCAGGACTTTTTAAATCTTGGTATCACCGATCTGTTTATTCTGCTCAGGTCTCGTATAAAGTACCATTAAGGTTGAAAATACCAAATACTAAATACTCAGTACTTCAGCTGTAAAAAGGCTTTTGTAATGTAATATCGCGAAACAACGTTTGGAGATTAAAATGATTTCTTTTTCAGTTGATAAGCCAATAATAAGACATCTGACAATAAGGAAAATATTTTAATCTAATAACTTCTTCCCTTTATTTTTCGCTTCTATTAAAAATTTTCCTTCCTTATTCATAGTACACTTTTTTTAGAGAAATTTGGTCGTCTCGCCATAAAAGGGACGAATTTGTTCTTCCGTTAGTTATTTTATACTTTTCTTCAAAACAACTTGGTCTGTGTAGCTTTGTGCGAAATTCAAAAACAAACAATCAATCCCATTATTCGTTGGTAAAAGAATATCCCAAGAGTTGACGATGGGTGGTGTTAACTAGCCGTCTTCCCTTTAGTCTATCACTGCGAAATTAGAGACGGCTAGTGCATATAGTCCTCGTGTAACTTTGCGCAAAATTCCAAAGAAACCACATTTTACATGAGTGAAATATTTCGTTCAAAATTCTATGAAGAGGAGACTCAAAGACATTTTTAGTAAATGTAATGAAGCAAATATTTGCAGACCCTAGAATTTGATGAGAGTTTTCTTCTACCGTGTTTCTGTAAAACGAAATAAAATAATTGGTTTGAATTATTCGGATAAACCTTGTCAACTATCTCACTTAGATTATTTGAAGGCTGGTTATAAATATATTATTGTTCATGGAAACGGATCTGTGATTTTAACGTTAAGAAATCTTTTAACAGTAATGGCATTAACTGTATTTGTTTTATTATGGAAATATAATTTCATCAAAGGCGCATTGAAAATAATACGTCCGGATACAATACAGGGTGCTAAAGAACCACATTATACAGCGTACCTAAATCGCTTATCTCATAACCTAGCATTGCTTTTATTTCTATTCTTCCCCCCCCTATTTTTATCAACGAAATTAACGATTTGAATAAGATGCAAAGCAGTATGCAAGATGACGCTAAGATCAATGAGCACTGTCTAGAACAGATTATATTTGCACTATATTCATTTATGGATAGGCCTGATTTGCTGATTGAGAATAATGGAAAGCATATTGAACACCTTTTAGTTTTTTGAAACACCACGTGCCATTTTCAAATTCTCTGAATAAAAATAAACAATTTTCAATGTGATTCATGAAATTTAGTTTCAGTAGGACACGTAATTCTTTAAAATATAATCGTCTTAAATATGGGATTTCTTTTTACTCCCTCTAGATATTGGCTAAGCAGAGAATTTACGAGCCATGTTGAATTTACATAAAATCTATATTAGACACCCTAAAGATAGTTCCTTCTACTGCTTTAAGAACTTTCATATTTGTTGTAAGAAATCTAGTAGCCCTTTAAAGTTTTGTTGTTATCGTTTTTAGTATAGCCTAAAGTACAGAGATTATTATACTGACCAGGAACATTTATGGAAAAAAATATAATTCTCTTGAAATAGGGCTTTTGGTATTTGATAAGTGTTTTTGTGTGTGCATATTTAAGATCTATTTAAAGTATCGGTTTGAGTTTAAGTTAGATGTGGTGTATTTTTATTCTGAAATTTTACTTATCTTTAATTTCTCTGTAAAATTGAGATTTTTATAGGCATTTCAAGGCTGACGAGCGGTACCATAAACCTGGTGGAAATAAATGAAATCAACCTAAGATAACCGTCTATATAATACTTCCCAGGAAGAGTGATGTATAACTACATATTGTATTTAAAAACGCACAATTCAGTGTATTTTATACTTTTAAAAACAACATTTATTCTAAATTCCTTTGAGTATTTGAAATAATAGAAAAGTTGTGTAGTTACCTATGCATTCTATTTTTGGCTTTATTTACTCACAAACGTATTGACTTCCTTTATTGTGGAAGCGGAAGAACTACTATAAACTGTAAAAACATTTAAACACCGTGTACATACCTCCTTAAAAAATTGCAATATTTCAACTAGATTTCATCTATCATAATTTTTGATATTGATAAGCGTTTTCTATCCTTTCTGCACACTGGTTACAGGCCGCCAACTAATGAGACTCCCCTGAATCATTAACTACCACATCCTCCGAACTACTAACGATATCTAAATCATTAGGTTCCATTATATGTGGATGGTGAGCTATACTTTCCATTATATGTGGATGGTGAGCTATACTATCACCTTGTGCTTTGTCTATTTATGGAATCTTTATCTATTCTTACCTGATTATACACTAGAAGAACGAAAAGAACTGTTAGGTTAGAATATAAATAAAGGAAACTTGAGTGAGTAATTGTTTTACGAACTGATTGTTGAAAAATATTTCTGCAACCAATTGATTAAACATACTTTGTATTGCCAGCATTTCGAAACCACAATGTTCTGATTAGCAGACCAGAGCGTTTTTTCTGGGTCAATCATTGCTTTCATATTTACAAATGAATAATGCTTTTTATTTATATTTTATTTTAATCTCTACTTATTGCCCTAAAAAGCTTGTGTGAAATCAAGTAGTTGAAAAGAACAGTTAAAAAATATTTATCACATCATATATTCTATTGATGAAATGTTCAATTTTGGCTTCATTAAATAGTAAGAGAACTGGTATAATTAAATTTATCATTTTAAAAAAATACTAGCTTTCATTAGTTCAGATACGTCAATTTCAATGAATGGTAAATCAACTCCGTGTAGTTTTGTTAACCAGATAAACCAGAAAAACCAACAACTAAAAAAAAAAGAAACGCATCACGTTCCTTTTGTTGAAAATATCCATGACATTTCCAGTCTGATCAAAAACCTATGATACTTTTTATTTTGATCGTTTGTATTGTAATATGAAATTAGTGAGAATAATTTAAAATTTAGACCAGTCAAAGAGGTATATAATCTAGAAGTATGATTTTGAAAATACCTCAATGGTATGCTAGCTATACATTGACAACATTTGTCTGAAATCATAATTATTTTCATAAGCATCATATTTATCCATATATTTTATTCACAGTGTGGTACGAATAGAATATTACAGAGTCTAGATTAGTTTGTATTTTCCTCAAAGTTACTCGAGGGTTATCTGTGCCAGCCATTCCTAATTTAGAAGCTTTCTTGAACTACTTTTTTACCAACGAATAATGGAATCGACCGTCACATTATAAAGTCCCAACGGCTGAAATGGCTAGAGTTTCAGTGACGGGGATTCGAACCCGCGACTCGTAGTTGCGAATCGAGTACCTTAACCACTAGGTCATACCAGGCCTTAGTACTCCACAAGTTCACAGAAAGTTATTTTACGTAGCGATATTTAGTTTAATTTGTACTTTGTAACTGGTAATGAATATATCAATTAATTGCAATATTTTTTTTTTGGAAAGTATTATTTTTTTTTGTCATTGGAAGACATCATAGCTTTCCACCTTCGACAGATGCTGTGGGTGATAATTCAGTACGATGATGTAGAAGAATGAGCTATTCTCAGCAAGTACATTTTAGCTCTGTTAGACTTCTTGTTGAAACCAAACCACTTTATCTTTCGGTTTGTGTTTGTTTGTAATTAAGCACAAAGCTACACAATGGGATATCTGAGCTCTGCCAACCAG